CTTTTTGACCCTTGAAAATCTTCTCAAAAGTCGGGGGTCGTCTTATACGCCGGTACACATGTTTAGGGGGGCTGCGGCATTAAGTACAGGGGTTTGCAGGGGCTGATGTCTCTTACCTGGATCCAGTCCCACGACGATCCGGTCCAGGAAGCGCGGCGTCTCCTTCAGTTCGGCCACTGGATGTTCGTGCGGCTGCTCGGCTCCGCCTCCTCACCGGTGATTGGCCGCCAGAACTGTAGCTCAGGAAAGGCACACAGGCGGCCAATCACTGGCGAGGGGGCGGAGCCGAGCGGCCCCGCGAAAATTGAGTGCCGGAGCAGCAGGTAAGTGTTCTGTGTAGAGGTGCTGCTGCAACCACATATGCTGGCTGCAGCAGCACCATACGAGAACAGGGTCAGCAAGTCTCAGTGGGAGGAATAGTGCCCCATCATTGGTGTCACTGATACCAATGATGGGGCACTATTCCTCCCACTGACACCAACGATGGGGCACTATTCCAACTGACACCAATGATAGGGCACTATTCCCCCCCCCCCCCACTGACACCAATGATGGGGCACTATTCCCCCCCCCCACTGACACCAATGATGGGGCACTATTCCACCCCCCACTGACACCAATGATGGGGCACTATTCCACCCCTCACTGACACCAATGATGGGACACCATTCCTCCCACTGATACCAATGATGGGGCACTATTCCTGCCACTGATACCAATGATGGGGCACTGTTCCTCCCACTGACACCAATGATGGAGCACTATTCCTCCACTGATACTAATGATAGGGCACTATTCCTGCCACTAATGCCAATGATGGGGCACTATTCCTGCCACTAATACCAATGATGGGGCACTATTCCTCCCACTGACACCAATGATGGGGCACTATTCCTCCCACTGACATCAATGATGGGGCACTATTCCTCCCACTGGTGTGCATTGGAAGAGGGGTAGTCTTATACAGCGAGTATAGCCCAAACACTACATTTTAGCAGGAAAAGTAGGGGGGTCGTCTTATACGCCCAGTCGTCTTATACGCCGGCAAATACGGTACTAAATAACACTAGTAAATAAATAATACTGTCCAAAAAAATGTCCACAATAGAATAAGGTATAAGATAAACAAAAGTCCTCCAAATAGACAATCCGCAAAATGACTTCCAGCAGGATGTGAATCCAATGATTACGGAGATCGTATCTCAAAGAGAGAGAACTCGCGTAGTGTGATACCATAGATCACACTATGTGAGTTCTCTCTTTCTTTGAGGTACGATCTCCGTAATCATTGGATTCACATCCTGCTGGAAGTCATTTTGCGGATTGTCTATTTGGAGGACTTTTGTTTATCTTATTTATTTTATACCTTATATTTTATTCTATTGTGGACATTTTTTTGGACAGTATTTATTTATTTACAAGTGTTATTTAGTATATTAGCACTTTATATATATTTATTTGGATGATACACTTTTTGGGGTGAAAAGTGTTTAGGTGCAATTGGGGAATTATTTATAGGGGACACCGTTTATTTCTGTCATTTCCACAACCCCTACCATGTAGGAGCTCCTGCGTGGCCAGGGATGAAACTAGGACAATTTTAGACAGGAGCCAATTAACATACCAGCATGTCTTTGGAGTGTGGGAGGAAACTGGAGTACTGGGAGGAAACCGGAGTACCTGGAGGAAACCCACACGAACACAGGGAGAACATGAAAACTCCATGCAGGAGGCGCCATGGTTGGGAATCGAACCCATGACCTAATTACTGCAAGGCAGAAGTGCTAACCACTAAGCCACTGTGCCGCCCACTCCCCATATAGATTTTGCTTAAAAAAAAAAATGTAAAGAAAAAAATCCATTGACTGTGGCTTCTGACAGTTTTGAGAGGGTATGGGTGATTTCTTTGTTGCGCCCAGCAAAGCTGCATGTTTTCAGGATGCATTCTTAAGAGTTTTCAAGCACTCAGCTTTCAGCTTTCCAGTGAAGGCAGTGATAAAGCATGGTGATGTCACCTGTGGTTTCTGGAAGCGCAGTATACTTGGGCTGGGGCATTTTTTAAATCATTTTTGTTTTTAAAACGTTTTATATTTATAGGATTGTCAAGCAATATGTACTTGAGGAATGGTGGGTTGTGGATAAAGTGTATCCTATAATCATGAAAAGTCAGATTTAAAAGCATACACTATCTTCATATTATACCATATTATGGGAATAACATGAAGCATGGTCACATTCCCTGACCCTCAAATTGCCCCCACCTGAAATAAAGGGTTTTTGTCCAAAGTCCTTTTTTTTTTTTTTTTAAACTGTCTTTATTGATTGAAAAGGTGTAAAAAACAGACGGTAGAAATCCACGTTCCAAGTCCAAATGTGGTTTACAAAGCTTCCCTGACAAGGGTTCACCAAGCGGGTTCCCATGTGGTTAATCCAATTTAGCTCTCACAGATTACAGCATGGAACATAACAATCAAAACATCACATGGCAGTCGCAGTATAGCACATGAGAAATAAGTAGCTTAGACATAGAGCCCGCATACTGGCTAAGAATTGGCATTATCAGGTAGGCCTGTAAAATGAACAAAGGTGGATATCAGAAAAAGAAAGGAAGTGAGAGAAGAGGGTGCCGATGCACTCCATAACCAAATAGAACCCGCTGACCCACTCCCACCCCCAAGACGGAAGGGGCAAGATACATAAAGGAACTACTGGAAATTGTCAAGGTGGCTATTCATAGGTGTGCCACAGCTCCCAGACCATATTATACCTGTTCAAAGAGTCATTCAGGGTGACTGTTAGGTATTTCATCCTTTGGACATCCCAGCTCCTAGCATAAAGCTTCATCAGAGAGGGAGGCTCACGCTGTTTCCATTCACCATGCTACCGTTAGAAGGAGTGACAGAAGTCTCTTAGAAGTTTTAAAAAACTTAGAAGGGGGCAGCCCCAAGATAAAAGTTTTTGGATTGAATGGGATCCATTGGTCAAAGACTCGTTGGATAAGGACATGTATTGTACCCTGATTTTTTCTAGTTAATGCTACTGTGCTTGGCTCTGACCACACAGCAGAGTCATCTGTTCACAGAGATCTATAAATGAGAAGACTACAAGTCTCACATACCACCGCTGCAAAGAGACTCAGATATCTCAATGAAACTTGAGTGTTGTGACATCACCACACTTGCAGTCCATTGTTTATTTCCTCCAGCTCCATAACTGCAGGGCCATACCTTGGTACATACCTGGGGTTGGAGTTAAACAGTGCAGGAATGTGTGCCTTCAATGCAAACATTTAATAAATGCATGTTGCTTTTTTTTTTTTTATATCAACGTGGGTGTTTGTTTAAATTTTTGCAATAGTGGAAAATGCCGTGAAGATCAGAGATAGCAGAACAGGCTTTTCCAGTGGAAGGCAAGTAATGGTCTCCTCAAATCTTTTCATGACTGTGCCCTTTAAGACAGCTTTGGGTATTGATAATTGCCCCTCCCCAAAGCCTGATCCCCTCATCATATAACACCTGCAAACAGACTCCCCTCCCAGTGACTCACTATATAAGTACTTTAGACTGATAGTAGTCAGTGTTGGTGGGTTTGTTGAGCAGTTACCATGTTCCTGCGTAGGGCTGTCCTGGCTGGTGGAGCAGCACTGTTTGCTGCAGCAGTTCTGAAGCATAGTGGGGAAGATGCCAATACAGCTGCTGTGCTATGGCCTCCGGCCTTCACTAGGATCTGGGACCCCAACTGGGACCGGTGAGTTCTTCACGTAGTAGATGTGACTTAAGATATTAATGCTGAAAGCTTGAATATTATGAGCAACTCCTTCACCAGTCTGGCATATTGTAGTGTACCAGTTACTACTATTCATATGGAAGGGGTGTGTGGCCCATTTTATAGGTCACTTATTGTAAAACCTTCCTTTTTTTTTATGAAGTGGGTATTTTTTTTTTTTTTTTTTTTTCCCCCTGAGAATAAAACCCCCAAAAAATGTGACTATATACATGATCCCCCTATCAATACAAGTAATAACTATTGTAAGTACTTGGTTTTGGTTTTTAAGATGAACATACACTATACAATCTGCTCTAGCATTATCATGAATTTGGTGCAAGTGCCTGCCTAATCTGTTCCTAATTAAATGCATTGTTTAGAATTGTTCTTAGCACAATCTTGCTAAATCTGAAGCTTCTTTTATAGTGCTTTGGCAGCTTTCAATAGATCTAAATTGATGGTATTAATGGGTTGAGTTCTTGACCCTCGAAAACCCCACTTATTTTGGGGTCCGTGGCGCAATCTTGCTGTTGGAAAAACGCACCTGGCTAAGGGCCAAAATTGGGTCCCTGAGCTTCTTTGTCTTGACAGCCACACCCAGAGCAGCCCATTCAAGTGAATGGGCTGCTTTTCATCTGTGACACATGGAATTGTGTGAAAACTGTAGACAAAACAAACTTCTTCTTGGCTCTATTCTGGTTTCTTACTACACCAGAACAGTTGACAAGTTCCCCTAGTGCAACAGAATGGTGCAATATTCTCTTAGAGGGCCACATATGCATTTTGCTCTCCTATTGTAGCCACTGAAACCTAATTTGATGGGAGAGAGCGTACACTGCACATGGGAATTTAAAGGGAAAATGATGTCACTTCCTCCTGTAGTGTTAGGGGATGCTCCTCCTAAAGACTCTACTGTGACGTGTTTTTTCCACACTAGCTAAAATGCATCACACTGTTTCCTGCAGAAACACTCACGGATAGCGACTTGCACAGCAGAATACTGCGTTTTTACTATGCTCTCGTGTTTCATAAGATTCACTGCTTTTAGCACAAGATTCACTTTTCCAAATGCAAAATGTGTGTATCTTGAGTAAATCTAGAAGAACCCTCTCAAAATTTAATTACAGGTGTTGAGCAATACAATAAGGTCTTACCAGTATCCCAGGATTGACAGCTAGACTCTTCAGCATTATGTTCTGGATAAACTGACTGCCTAACCTATTATCTTTTTGTAGACGTGAACCAATGTCTCTGATCAATCTAAATGACCTGAAGGGCAATAAAGAGGACGACTTGAAAAGCCAGTTAAAAAAATACAATGCGAAAGTCAGACGGCATATCTTCCTTGTTCGCCATGGACAGTACAATGTTGCTGGTGAAACTGATTCTGAAAGAGTCCTAACGCCACTTGGTAGGTTTAGTTTGAATCTTCATTCAGAGTCCTAGCTGTCATGCCTATGGCCTCTTCATGTGAAAAGGGTATATTCTATATTCCGCAACATGGTTTCTAATTGGGCTTGCTAATACAAGGAGAATGACAGGCGCATGGTTTAGCAGTCCATAAATGTTGTATTAAGTTCCAAGTGGGCTGGGGTAGTCCAGTAGGCACTAAAGGCAAGCTGCGATGAAGCGAAACACAACTCTGCAGTAGAAGAAACACACAGCGCCTGTAAGTGTGTACTGCAATAATATATTTTTAATAAGAAAGGAAGTAGTAACTCACATCTTGGAATTTAAAAAACCGGCTCATGTGGAGAGGTAAGTCTGCAGCCAGATGTTGGGTGACTGTTCCAAAGAGGAGATGGCCTAGGTATGCCAGCAGATGGTGCTATGTATGTGAAGCCTGGCAGTCGCTAAGATGTCCGGGATCGGTTATGTTGGGGCGTCTGGTGTCAATGTGTGAAGTGTTTCTGAGCATGTGCAGGATGAGTCGCCCGGCCTGCTTTCATCAGGCAGGGAGGAGCACGGAGGTGGGAGAGCCTTATGTAGAGCGAGGGAGGATGATACAGTCGGGGACAAGGAAACATAGGATTAGTCACAGAGCAGTAGAAAGCCAGTCTGTGACTGGGAGAAGTCTAACACTGACAGAGGAATGGGAGTTGCTAACCTTATTAAATATTCTTGCAGTATACACTTAGAGTAGCTTTGTTTCTTCTAATTGGGGTTGTCACCTGTCTGCTTTCCCACCCCTGCCTGGGCCTGGAGGAGGAAGGCTTTTTGTTTCAGTGCATGTGTGCAGACAGATGAGTGTCTTTGGGCTGTTTGTACAGACTAACCCCTTGCAGTTTCATAAAAGGAAGAGTGGTGAAGAATCAAGATTTGTGGGAACATCACTTTGAGAATGCTAGGGCCAGTTATCCTTTCAGCTTGGACAGAGGGAAGCTGCTATATTTAACATTAAAATCTCACATTGGGAGCAAAAAATGGGGGGGGGGGGGGAGAGAGTGATTGCCTGTGAAGGCTAGGGATCACAAATTCATGAGAATATTTGGCCTCAATTTTTGGCATTTTGCCTAATGTGTCACATTAACTTGCTGTCTGGATTCTATACTTGCCCATAAGGTGCAATTTGATCACGTTCTTTTTGGAAGCTTGCTTACCAGAATTTTTTTTTTTTTATGCTGTAGGTCGTGAGCAGGCCAACTTAACTGGACAGCGCCTGGCTAATTTGGGTTACACCTACAATGAGGTGACATATTCAACCTTGCACAGGGCCAAAGAGACATCAGAAATAATTGGACAGCATCTGCAGGGTAAGTATGAAGTGAAAATTACAGATCTGTTGGTTAAAAAAAAAACAGCATTGAGGTTTGCATCAATTTTCAGTATCTTCGTAGTATAGATAGAAATTTTTTAGTTTTCATTAGGACAGCATAAAGGCTTCTCCCACTGGAACAAGAGACCTATCCATAAAGCCATAGGTTAAACTGATCTTTCTTGAATCTCTTCAGTAGTTTATAGGAGATGTGTTTTGGCTTCATGGACTGGCTGAGATTTTCTTTCTCCTAGATGACATTGGGAGTACCTTCCAGTTGGGGTATGAGGTAGGCCCTGGGGATTGGTTTTTAAGCTCCCTTGGCAAAGGACCCCCCCCCCCCTTGCTGTCTGGTGCACTATGGGGTGGTTCTTTGTAAAATTTTCTAGCTCAGTAATTGTGTGGTCTGAGCTTGAAAGTTATGGCCTAGGTCCCAGCCTGACTTTCCCATGCCAAACCTGGGAGCAGTGACAGATGTGTTTAATACTGTGGTCAATGAAGGGACATACTGCATACCTGCTGTCCTGCCTGAGATTGGTGGGGTTTAGGTCCAGGGTGTTTGGCCTTTTCCAGGCCCCATTTCATATAACTGCATAAGAATGCCATTGTCCGTCCTGCACTACCCCATTCCCAGCCTATATGCCTCTCTACCAAGGTTGGCTGCTTCTCATCTCAACTAAATGGACCATAACCCAGGCCTGGAAGTCTCCAGGGAGTGAGGATGTAGATGACAGCTCTGATACTTAACACCTTCCCATCTGGCCTATAGCAGATTAATGCCCAGGCTGGACACTCACTGTTGTAACTGGGCATCATGACTTCCTGTCAAAAGCAGCAGTTCTCGAGACCGTGCAGCCTGTCACTGGCTGTCCACAGGACACAGCCAATGTCATATCACTACACTGGCCCTTTGCCAGTGTCATGTGACCAATCACAACAGATCATGTCTATAGTATACAATAGATGGCTTCCTGTCATGCCATTCATTGTATACAATTGTGGTGGTAGCTGTGACTGATCAAAGTGGTCACATGGTACAGACAGGGCCAATTGCATCTAATCCCAGCGAGAGACTGAATTGGTTTCATTCAGTAACAATGATTGCAAATATCAATTAAATACATTGGTAATAGCAATCATAATGTGTTTAAAAAACAAACCAATCCTGTTTACTTGCCCAGAGTAGTTCAATGTTACTATAACATAGTATTGCTTTGGTCAGTGTTGGAAAAATACATGTAATAAAAATTTTACCTACTGTCACCAGTCAGTGTCCCTGATCACCACACACCAGTTATATAATCACACTGTACTTAAACGTTTTTGGAAAATGTAGAATTTTTTTTTGTTTTTTTACAACCTCCAAAAACTCACCATGCCTCTTACTATATACTTTGGACTGTCTAATTTCCAAAAATGGGTCATTTGGGGGGTATTTGTACTATGCTAGTGTTTTCAAGCCTCAAGAAACAAAATTGGCTGTCAGTACATTGATCTCTTGTCAGATCTAGATGGATAGATCTCATGGTTTGTGGACTCTAACTTTCCTAAAGACTAAATAATACACTCGTGGGTTTTCACCAAAGAAATGTAGTTTGAATACATTTTGGCATAAATTTATGGCCAAAATGTATTAAACTAAAGTTGTTTCAAAAGTTTCAGTTTTTTTTTATTTAGAAAAAAAAAAACTTGGTGATTAAATTCCACCAAAAACCTTTTTTATTTTTATGGGTAGTGTTGCATGACCTCAATTGTCATTTCAAAGTGCAACACTGAAAGCTGAAAATTGGCCTGGGCAGGAAGGGGGTAAAAGTGCTCGGTATTGAAGTGGTTAATGAGCAAATGTCTAGCATCTCGACTGATTCACTCTAAAGTCCATAATCTGGAAGCCATGGATATCCTATGTGCCACATGATGCTCCTGGCACCCAGGATTGCTGTCTGCAGCATTTCGAAATCTGGAAGTTGTGTCCTTTTTTTTTTTTTTTTTTTTTTTTTTTTTTTTTTTTACAGTCTGTTCTCTGGTATACTGAGAACATCAGAAGGATCCCCATTATCTTGGATGTACAATATTTCCTGTTCTGGTGAGGGCATATTTTAATGTCCTGTAAGACTACTGGAAATGTAACTAATGCTGAACTTATCCTGTCATATTCTGACCATGTGTTGTAGTGTGCTGTTCAAAACAGACAATTGCTAAATATAATAGTAGTGGTATATGGATAGCTGTCCATAGTGCCCAACTGTCAGTACTGCCTCTAGATTAATGTATAGCAGAGTCTTTAAATATAATGGAAAGGTGCTCAGGCAAAGAGGGAATGTTTGTGGAAGGAATGACACGAGTGAAGTTCGCCCTGGAACTATGGTGTACAAGGCAAAGTCCACTTCAGGTATAGGTGGTTCATCCATGGTGTCAAGATGGCTGCCTTTTCTTGAACTGTGCAATGGTCTTAAACCACTAAGCCTTTGTCAGGGTTGTTGGTGACTGACTACTAAAGGGAGTAGCAGTATTGCCATTTTGTAGCCATTTACAGTTACACAAACCATATCATTTAAACAAAACTAAATGCCACAAAGCAACTGCAGTTCCATTAACCACAGTAAAGTTGCTTTGCATATCTTGGGCAATAATGGTAATGATATGCATGCCTGATTTAGGATATGCTGGTAGCCAGTCTGTACAAAAATATATGCATGAAAACTTCTCAAATTGCATTTCCCCCACACAGGTGTGAAAAGCACTGGTTCTGACTTGCTAAGAGAAGGGGCTCCCATTAGACCAGACCCACCAAGCCATGACTGGAAACCAGATATTGTGGTGAGCCTTACAAAGTGTTTTGCACTGAAGTTTAGTGATCAACTAGTAGGAATAATTTTTTTTTTCTCTTTTTCTTGAGTGGGATGAATCTTTGTGTAGAAAAACATGAACTGATGTGTACTGCTCCATGACATTGCTTCAGTTCTGGAGCAAGTAGGCACTTTACCTTCAAGAGAACAAGGCATGGCCTTACTAGTAGAGCACTTGGTGTGATTTTGTCTGAGGTATAGCTTTTCTCCTATTGCATCTTACTCAGAAGCAGAGCAATAAAGACTTATTGACCTCAAGTGGTCTGACTTAACCTGCAGGGAGTCTCAATTGCCTACATGTGAGACCTCCCACTCCTAGATAGGTGCAATGCTTGAAGGCTCTCTTCAAATGAACGATCACTAGCTAGGTGTCAGTCTTAGTCTAGGAAAGGAATATTTCCTTGGGCATTACTTGCATTTTAACTAGCTTGTGCCTTTTTTTACTTGTTTCTACTGTTAAATCCTGAATCTCTTGCCTCTAGTATTTTGAGGATGGACCACGTATAGAATCTGCTTTTAGAAGCTATATTCACCGTGCTGACTATGAACAGAAAGATGAAAGCTATGAGATCATAGTTTGCCATGATAATGTTATCCGCTATATTGTATGCAGGTAAGGAAGTCTGCCTTCTATCTTACAAAACTTGGCAAACAAATATTCTATATCTTATGTATTTGAAGATGCTTGTGGTGATCAGTGTACATGCACCAGACTGAAGTTCTGATCAAAAGCTGGCCATCCACTACACAACACAATCTGATACTTTATCTTTTTAGTAAATCTAAAACTGAGATCCTACAACATGCATTAGTTTAAATCTACCATCAACTATTTGGTGCAAAGGCATTGATTGGCTATAAGAGGCAGTCCAGTAAATGGGCCATGCTTCAGTAGTGGTGGGTCTGCCAATGTGTACTAGTTTGCTTTCTATGGACTGACTGCATACAGCTCCTTTGTTGGGTTGGGGGTGTCGCAGTCCCTGCTTGAACAAAGTTTACACAACATGGCTGCAATTTGCTGTAGCTGTAAGTTGGTAGAACCCAACTGTGCCTTTGGTGTGGAGTTTTTCCACCTCGGCATTTAGTTCAAATGCAGGGGTTTCTTACACCCATATGCTCATCTCAAGGCAAATGCAGCTTAAAAGCAGTCCTGTGCTGGGTACATCAGTTGTGTGGGGTGCTTTCACCTGGTGGTGATGTCTGCCAGTAAAAATTCCCTGTCCTAGGATGATGGCACATGCTCACCCTTTCATTTTGTCAGTCGTCCTGATACAGGAATGCAGAACCCAGCCCCCTATTCTCCATAACAGGCGTGGTCCTCTACACTACACTAGAAATAACAAATCAATTAACTGATGATAGTACACACTGAGCAAATACAGTAGGTTTCTGCATTCAGCCGAAGATCAATTTTGGGTGGGTATATTGTGGTTGCTGTGGGCTTTTCTCATCACCATATCTTTCAAATGGTGTATTTTTTAAAATGGGTTTACACTAACAAGGATATTTCTTCCTCCCCTAGGGCTCTTCAGCTGCCTCCTGAAGCTTGGCTACGCATGGATCTAAATCATGGCAGCATTACTGAACTTGTGATTCATCACAATGGTAATGTAACTCTAAGGATGCTTGGTGATGCTGGGTATATGCCTACTTCTAAACTCAGCTGCTGAACTGGATGGTGCTGACAATTGTATGTAAATTTGGGGAAGTTTGGATCAATACAGCTGCTCCCAGACATGAGACTTTATGCACTATGTCAACATATATGGTGGTGGGATTAACTTTTTTTTTTTTTTTGTTCAGTTGGCACTATGTAATTAGTCACGATACATTCTAGATTGCAGACACATCCAAAGCATTTACATTCCTATACATAGCTATACATTCCTATAGCATTTACCGAGTGAACCTGATGCACACATTAGCTAAATGTTACCTGTACACTCTTGTATCCATTTTAATGTTGCTTGTATCACTTTCTATTTTATGCATTCTTGTATTTTTACATGTTGCTCTTGTATTCTGTTGGTGAAAGCATAATTTTGTACATGGCAAATTAAATGACAGCAGTTCAAAACCACTGTTTTCACCTCTTTGAGAAATTATTTATGCTCATGGCCTTATAGCTACTCTAGAAACTGGAATGTGTGGGATGATCAAATGACCACATTGACAATCATTTTTTGAGTGAAGTCACCCAATGTGTTTCCTGTGTACTCATCAGATTTAAGTTTTGTTACATTTTCTAAATGCACCTTCAGAAGTGGTTTTTGTTATGTGGGGGTTTTTTTTTTGGGAGGGGGGGGGGGGGGTCCTACAGTTAATGCATGCAGTATTTGACTACTAGGTTAAAATTCCCTAGTGGGGTGCAGGGTCCCAGGTGTCCAGTAGGTTCTTATATGGAAGAAGCTTATCCCAACCATCAACCATGCTGTCCAGTGATTCTCCTAGTTGCTAACACTTGCTTCGAGGACTGTTTCATGCTTTCAACCCTTTACAGATGTGAACTGGCCCAGGAGGTGTTACACAGGCTAATTGGTCATGTGACTTTCTGCCAAATGTAGCCCTACCCAGCAGCTTTAACAGGAAGCTGTTAGTTTCCCAGTTGCAGTGCTGGGGTGCACAAAGTGTGGCACACTCCCACCACAATGGAACACTGGCTGTAGGCACATATGGCAGATTGCAAACAAGAGATTTCCCAGCAACACTTACCTGCCAGCCTGCAAAACTACCAATTTAGCCCTGTCTAACAGTTTGGCAATGTGTTCAGACAAAAACACTCATTTAACACAATTGCATGCATAAGCCAGTCTGCATCAAGGGTCCTCTGATTTTAGTTGGATCCACAGTATACAAAGCCTCCATAGTAGGAACCCATCCATCAATGGATGTGTTGAGGGCAGGTGTGCCTGAGGAGCCCATCCCTCAAAGGTACAGGGACACAAATGACACAGCTATACCAAAATGACAGCAAAGGCATCCAGTGTGTCCCTGCATCCAAATTGGTTAACTACACAAATGGCAACTATCCCAAACATATATTGCTAAAAGCTCACTGCCACATGTCTTAAGGGGTTGGTGATACGATGGGCTAAACTATTACTGCTATTAGTAAATAGTAACACAGCAGGCCTGTTTGCATTATGTCTGCAACAGTTTTACATGTTGGTCCTTAACCACTTGCCATCCTGAGCAATTTTTGCTCATTCACAGGAATAACTCATATGGTGCAATTGCTGTTAAGAACTAGAAGCTTTTCCAACTTCTATGCAGGAATAGAAATGCACATGTGCTGAACACAATTTAGCCATCTACTGTGGGCGCTGTTTAATAAAATCTCAGGAGTTCTCTGCAAGACAGCAATTGTGACTGTCTACTGTGTGACAAACAGCACTATTTTTATAGCTATATATATCTTTATGTATTCTAATTTGAATTCCCTAGTTCTATTGATTATATATTTTTGGTTTCTTATCTTTTTTTTTTTTTTTTTTTTTTTTTTTCTGTAATGGTTTTACATATTTCAAAGATCTAGATAATATATATTTTGACAGCTGAATCTAAAAATAAAGGTTGGCAATTTAAAAAAAAAAAAAAAAGAAAAAAGTGGGGTCCCCCTTCCATTCATACAAAGTCCTTTGGGTCTGGTATGGATTTAGAGGGGAAGCTCCCTGTCAAAATTAAAGTCATGGGGTCCCTCCCAAAATCCATGGCAGACCCTTAACTGAGCATGCAGGTCAGGAAAGGGATGGGGGATGAGCAAGCACCCCCAAACAATCAGGCCACATTCCTTCAACATGGGGGGTGCTTTGGGGCAGAGGGCTCAAACCCCCCCCCCCCCCCCCCCCCCCCCCCCCCCCCCCCCCCCCCCCCCCCCCCCCCTCCCCCACCCCCCCCCCCCCCCCCCCCCCCCCCCCCCCCCCCCCCCCCCCCCCCCCCCCCCCCCCCCCCCCCCCCCCCCCCCCCCCCCCAGACGACACTTTACCAAAAGAGAACAAAAACAGTTGGGGACCACCCAGTCAGGTGGTGTTTAGTGAGCCACAGGAGGAACACCAAGGAGTTATGATGTGAAAAATAATCGATGTGTTTTAGACTAGACATATTCATATTGGTCGTCAACCAGTCACAAACTTAACACAATTTAAGTGTCTCTAAATGTTCCAAGATACAGAGCCTTGAAAAAGTGTTCATACCCCTTGAAATTGTCATGTTACAACCAAAAACATAAATATTTTATGTGATCAACACAAAGTGACACAATTGTGGAGTGGAAGGAAAATGACAAATGGTATTCAAAATTTTTTTACAAATATCTGAAAAGTGTGGTATACATTTGTATCAGTCCCCATTTATTTATTACAGGTACTTGTATAGCGCCGTCAATTTTACTCAGCGCTTTACATCTATATTGTACATTCACATCAGTCCCTAACCCTCAAGGGGGGGATGTACAATCTAAGGTCCCTAACTTACATTCATACATACCCATACTAGGGACAATTTAGACAGGATCCAGTTAACCTACAGGCGTGTCTTTGGAGTGTGGGAGGAAACCCATGCAGGCACAGAGAGAACATGCAAATTCCAGGCAGGTGGTGCTGTGGTTGGGACTCAAACCAAAGGCTGTAGTACTGCCAGGTGGAAGTGCTAACCATCTAGCCCCTGTGCAGCCTGATACTGTCCTTTACTTTGATACCCCTAACTAAAATCTAGTGGAATCAATTGCCTTCAGAAGTCACCTAATTAGTAAATAGGTTAGTCCACCTGTGTGTAATGCAATCTCAGTATACATACAGCTGTTCTGTGAAGTCCTCAGAAGTTTGTTAGTAAACAAACAGCATTATGAAGGCCATGGAACACACCAGACAGGTCAGGGATAAAGTTGTGAAGATTAAAGCATGGTTAGGTTATAAAAAAAAAAAAAAAAAAAATCCCAAGCTTTGAACATCTCACAGAGCACTGTTCAATCCATCATCCAAAAATGGAAAGAGTGACTGCAAACCTACCAAGACATGGCTGTCCACCTACACTGACAGGCCAGGAAAGGAGAGCATTAATCAGAGAAGCAGCCAAGAGGCCAATGGTAACGCTGGAGGAACTGCAGAGATCCAAAAGCAAAACGCTATGTGTAGCAGAAAACTAACACTGCGCATCACCCTGAACACACCATCCCCACTGTGAAACATGGTGGTGGCAGCATCATGTTGTGGGGATGTTTTTCTTCAGCTGGGACAGGGAAGCTGGTCAGAGTTGATGGATGGAGCCAAATACAGGGCAATCTTAGAAGAAAACCTGTTGGAGTCTGCTAAAGACTTGAGACTGGGGCGGATGCTCCCCTTCCAGCAGGTCAATGACCCTAAACATACAGCCAGAGCTACAATGGAATGGTTTAGATCAAAGCATATTCATGTGTAAGAATGGCCCAGTCAAAGTCCAGACCTAAAGCCAATTGAGAATCTGTGGAAAGACTTGAACATTGCTGTTCACAAACGCTCTCCATCCAATCTGACAGAGCTTGAGCTATTTTGCAAAGAATGGACAAAAATGTCACTCTCTAGATGTGGAAAGCTGGTAGAGGCATACCAAAAAAGACTTGCAGCTGTAATTGCAGTGAAAGGTGGTTCCACAAAGTATTGACTCAAGAGGCTGAATACAAATGTATGCCACATTTTTCAGATATTTTATTTGTAAAACATTTTGAAAACCATTTATCATTTTCCTGCCACTTCACAATTATGTGTCACTTTGTGTTGGTCTATCACATAAAATACATTAACGTTTGTGGTTCTAACATGACAAAAAGTAGAACACAGTACCTTGAAAAAGTATTCATACCCCTTGAAATTTTTCACAAAGTTCATTTAGATAAAAATGTACACAGCAACAGCCATGATAATATCTTAACACCTTCCAAGGTTGCCTCTGTGGTAAACAAACATTATAGATTAGACAATTAAATAATAAATGTGTTGCCCTCCACCTACTGAAAACTAAAAAGATATAAATGTTATATTGTAATAATCCTCCCTCTCAAACGTGCATCCGTGCACAAACCTAAAAGGTGCAAATAATGATAAATACAAATATTTATGTATGTGACCCTGTGGCGTAACGTGTAGGGGAGGGGCTCTGACGTCACGACGCCACCTTCAGCAGAACAGCGAGTACTGTCACTGTGCGCGAGCACACACTGAGGCAAAAACGCTATATATTTTTATATTTAATATGAGTGCGCACTGTTTTGGATCTAATAACATTTTACAAAAAGAGATAAGGCACTATGTGGGAATTTCTCTTTTCCATGTATTAAACTGGAGGAACAAAGGGAAGAAGAGGAAATAGGAGATGGACCCCTGCAGGACGAGGGGAGAAATCCTCATCCATCCATCCTATATTCACAGCCCAGAAGGGAGATTGGGAGCCTCCCAGTGGAAGGAGAATATTATTACAGTCCATCTTAACATCATTTATATACAGGATTATAGCATGGATATCCACATCATGTCCAGTTAAGGACAAAAAGCCCATATAGCCTTGCTTAACGGTTGGGCTATATAGTGAGATGAGCATATATAATTCTCAGCACAGCAAGATTATAAAGAGGACTTTTTTCCATTTTATATTGTCACATATTTTTTTTATAGATCACCAATTCCATATCACATTTGTG